AAAGTAATCAATAAATAGAACAAAATAAAAAATAAAAAAGACTGCAAGTGATGTCAATTGCGGAAGCGCAAGTCTGAGAGTGCAAGTGCAAGTTTGCAGCCAGACCCTTCTCAAATTACCATTTAAACAACTTTACACTTCAAATAACAAAGGTTTTGACAAAAACACATTGTTTTATACATTTTAAAACATCATATTTCTGCCTTTAATTCTTAAGACAAGGGATGGTCAGAATTAGAAATGTACATATAATTATAATTAAAAAATGCAGCAGCATTATCAGTGTTAATTTTCTGCCCTTTTTTCAGTACATTTTGATGGGCAAAGACCATTTTTAAAAAGATAAATCTTTGGAATTATTATTATTATTTATTTTTTTATTTTATTTTTTACTTATCCAAACATTTTGAATGGTAGTATTTTATGGTTCAAAATATTAAGGATCACGACCATTTTCAACAATTATCAGTGTTGGAATGTTCTGCTTTTTTCTCCTTCTTCAGATACCATTTTTTTAAATATAAATCTTTGGAAATTTTGATTTACTTATTTAGTTATGCATGTATGTATTTATTTGTTTTTTCGCCCAAAAATTGTAAATGGTAGTATTTTATGCTTTAAAACATTAAGGAGCACAACTGTTTTTAACACTGATAATATTAAGAAATGTTTCTTGAGCATCAAATTAGCATATTTGATTTCTGAAGGATCATGTGACACTGAAGTAGAGTAATGATACTGAAATTTCAGCATTGTGTCACAGGAATACATTTATAAATATATATATTTACATTATTAATTTTTTTACACTGAACAAAATCATAAATGTTTCGGAACAGGATTCATGTTTTGTTATGCAAAATAACAAAAATCTTTTGATCTTGGGGTAAAATATAACCTGCACTTTTGTGTGTGTGTGTGTGTGTGTGTGTGAGAGAGAGAGAGAGAGAGAGAGAGAGAGAGAGAGAGAGAGAGAGAGAGAGAGAGAGAGAGAGAGAGAGAGAGAGAGAGAGAGAGAGAGAGAGAGAGAGAGAGAGAGAGAGAGAGAGAGAGAGAGAGAGAGAGAGAGAGAGAGAGAGAGAGAGAGAGAGAGAGAGAGAGAGAGAGAGAGAGAGAGAGAGAGAGAGAGAGAGAGAGAGAGAGAGAGAGAGAGAGAGAGAGAGAGAGAGAGAGAGAGTGAGAGTGAGAGTGAGAGTGAGAGAGAGAGAGAGAGATTTATCCATTACACAATAAAATGTAATTATTATGTGAATTCTGTCAGTGCAGTAGATTAATTCTGAAAGTCTGTGCTGTTGTCTATACAATAAATCCAAGAGAATGTATTAAACAAAAGGAGCTTTATTCACTAAAGTTGACACCTTGGAGGTTAGTCTCAGCTGTTCTGAGTCTGAGGAGAGAGCTGGTTAGATGACAGGGTTTTCTAGCACAAACAGTTAGCAGGAGAGGTCATTATGGCTCTGTGTACGTGTGTATGCGATACACAAAGTAGTACAGTACCAATCAACAGTTAAAACAAAGTAAACAGTACAGTACAGTTGCTTATACATTGATGGTTAAGGCTAAGGTTTTATTGAGGGTCTTGGGGGAGGTGAGAGAATGGAAAAAAGATCCCTGATATCTTGCAAATAGCTGCGGAAAAAAAGGTTGTAGCCTACTAGAGTGCAAAGCATGCTATACTGCCTTAGCACAATCTCAAAAAGAGTTGCAACTCGACCGGCTGCTTCAGACGAAGCATCAGAGAGAAGCAACTCACTGCATTTGAGCTGATGACTGGAAGACGACAAATAAATAGCAAATAAATAAATAAATAAAACGAACATTCTACTTCCAGATGCACAACCAGTGAGCCACATTTAGTTGTGAAAAATTTGCTGATACAAAGACAGCATCATCGGTCTTTGAATCAAAGTTAGAAGTTGGTATACAATTTTACATTCAATTCGATTTAAAAGAAAAAAGGAAGGAAGAAAGAAAAATTCTATTATCATGTGCACACCATCATGTTTTCCAAATCCAACCGATGACTTTTTTCTGTAAAACATAAAAGGAGAAATTTTGAAGCATGTTCACGCTGCACTTTTCCACACAATGAAAGTGAATGGTGACCACAGCTGTCAAGCAACAATAGCAAAGTTTTCCAATAAACATTTACTAAAATTTTAGTTCGGAATAAACTTTTATGGCACTTTTTATTCAGAGCTTGAAAGTTTATGGTCCCCATTCGCTTTCATTGTATGAAAAACAACAGTGTGAACATACTTCAAAATTTCTCCTTTTATGTTTTACAGAAAAAAAGTCATCCGTTGGATTTGGAAAACATGATGGTATGGAAGCCCGTTTCCGCCACTGAATAAAAAATAAATAAGGTAATTGCGACTTTTTATCTCACAATTCTGACGTTTTTCTCAGAACTCACAATTGCGAGTTATAAAGTGAGAATTGTGTGATATAAACTCGCAATTGCGAGAAGTCTCCCCCCCCCCCAAAATTGAACTTTATAACTCACAATTGCGAGTTCATATCTCACAATTCGGAGAAAAAAAAAGTCAGAATTGCGACTTTATATCACACAATTGTGAGTTATAAAAATCAGAAATGTGTGATACAAACTCACAATTACGAGTTATAAAGTCAGAATTGCGATACAAAGTCGCAATTCTGACTTTATAACTCCCAATTGTGAGTTTGTATCACGCAATTCTGACTTTTTTTTTTGTAATTGCGAGTTTGTATCACGCAATTCTGACTTCATAACTCGTAATTGCGAGTTTGTATCACGCAATTCTGACTTCATAACTCGTAATTGCGAGTTTGTATCACGCAATTCTGACTTCATAACTCGTAATTGCGAGTTTGTATCACGCAATTCTGACTTCATAACTCGTAATTGCGAGTTTGTATCACGCAATTCTGACTTTATATCTCGCAATTGTGTTTATATCAGGCAATTCTGTCTGACTTTATAACTCGCAAGAGTTTGTATCACGCAATTCTGACTTTATAACTCGTAATTGCGAGTTTGTATCACGCAATTCTGACTTTATAACTCCCAATTGTGAGTTTGTATCACGCAATTCTGACTTTTTTTTGGTAATTGCGACTTTAAATCTCGCAATTCTGACTTTATAACTCGTATTGTGAGTTATAAAAATCAGAAATGTGTGATACAAACTCACAATTACGAGTTATAAAGTCAGAATTGCGATACAAAGTCGCAATTCTGACTTTATAACTCCCAATTGTGAGTTTGTATCACGCAATTCTGACTTTTTTTTTTGTAATTGCGACTTTAAATCTCGCAATTCTGACTTCATAATTCGTAATTGTGAGTTTGTATCACGCAATTGACTTCATAACTCGTAATTGCGAGTTTGTATCATGCAATTCTGACTTTTTTTTTGTAATTGCGAGTTTGTATCACGCAATTCTGACTTTATAACTCGTAATTGCGAGTTTGTATCACGCGATTCTGACTTTATAACTCGTAATTGCGAGTTTGTATCACGCGATTCTGACTTTATAACTCGTAATCGCGAGTTTGTATCACGCAATTCTGACTTCTTTTTTGTAATTGCGACTTTAAATCTCGCAATTCTGACTTTATAACTCGTAATTGCGAGTTTGTATCACGCAATTCTGACTTTATAACTCGTAATTGCGAGTTTGTATCACGCAATTCTGACTTTTTTTTTTAATTGCAACTTTAAATCTCGCAATTCTGACTTCATAACTCGTATTTGCGAGTTTGTATCACGCAATTCTGACTTCATAACTCGTAATTGCGAGTTTGTATCACGCAATTCTGACTTTATAACTCGTAATTGCGAGTTTGTATCATGCAATTCTGACTTCATAACTCGTAATTGTGAGTTTGTATCACGCAATTCTGACTTTATAACCGGCAATTGCGAGTTTATATCTCACAATTCTGACTTTATAACTCGTAATTGCGAGTATGTATAACGCAATTCTGACTTTATAACCGGCAATTGCGAGTTTGTATAACGCAATTCTGACTTTATAACCGGCAATTGCGAGTTTATATCTCACAATTCTGAGAAAAAAAAAGACAGAATTGCGAGTTTGTATCATGCAATTCTGAGAAAAAAAGACAGAATTATGTAACCAGAATAACAACCTTTTTTTATTTTGTATTCAGTGGCGGAAACGGGCTTCCATAAGATGGTGTGTAAATGATAATAGAATTTTTTATCAATTCTGTTCAGAAAAGTGTGTAAATGATTGCAGAATTCACATTTTAGGGTAAACTATCCCTTTAAAAGCATATCCAAAGCTATACCGGACACAAAATATCAATTCCCTTGGTGAAAGTACACATATATGGTGCTAAATATAATTCTGGCAATATTTAGCCCTTTTCAGGGAGTCTTGAGCCATGGGCTTGTGAAGAGCAGCACCAGGAGGTGAGAGGGAGGAGATGTTCACACTTCTTTCCCGACGGAAAGCGTTTGAGAAGCGGCTTCCCAACCCCCCCTAAAGCTCCAGTTCAGACGAGTGGAGAAATATGTTTTCATTCTGCTCCGTGTAAACATCTTGATCATGCACCTCTAAGTAGGCAGCGACGAGTTAATGAGTGCGTTTACAAAAATTAATTTACAGTAAAAGAACTTGAGTCCAGCACCTGCGCTGGTCATACATCAAACGTACCATCTACTGTCAAAAGTTAGTAATATTAGTGACTACAGGAACAAGAGTATCTAAAGATTATTAAGGATTACACTCTTGCAGACAGATTTGTAGAATAGATAAATGCTAAACAGCCGAAAAATATTGCATTCATACGCTATGACGTGCCCATTGCCTGCAAATCTGAAAGGGGCATAATCACATTTGGCAGAAATGGTGGCATTTGTTTTTGTTTTTTTCCCACACAGTCCCACCGTTCAGCATTTTTGCTCCCTCTTTTTTTTTTTGCAAGCACATTGGGTGAATTTTTAAGACAAGTATAAAAATCTGCCTTGATTCCTAAAGCAACTTCACAATACTTATCAAAACAAATACTTACACATCTGCCATGTCATGCACATGCGGCTGAAGTGAATTCAATTCAGTGGCCGTTCACATAAGACGCGTTTTTGCATTAAAAACAGGTTGACGGAGCTTTCCATGTACACAATGTGTTTATCCATATGTACGGTAAATATGGTTAACGTGCCCCCAGAGCAATCGGAGTGGTCTATTCTTTTAAAATCAACACTGCACATCAAATGATAAACAAAATAGTGTTTGAAAAAAAAACGTCCGTCTAGTGCATGTTTACACAGAGCAACATTAAAAATACAGCGCAAATGTAAAGCAAGAGCATGTCCTATGTGAACGGCCAGCTTAATTCTGAAAACGACACTCAAGATTAAATAAAGAATATGTCAAAAAGAGATATGATTATAACCAAATAAAAAAAAACTAAAAACATTTTATGTCTAATAAATAAAAATAACACTGTGTCCTAATGAGATGCAATGCAACACGACACAAGATAACAGGCTTGTTTTACATTTTGCTTTTGTCCTAATCAACAGTGATGGCGATAAGTGACAGGTGATTCTATTAATTTGAAAATAATTGTTTTTAAATTAATTTTTCAATTTCTGCTATCTCGTGGCTGACATTGATTAGATGTCATATTTTAAATATTGTTAAAACTGTTAATTTTGATGAAATTACAAATTTATTTGTTGCACAGTGAGAGAGCAGTGAGCTTTCAGAGAGAGCTCCGCCCACACACTCTTCTGATTGGCTGTGATTTGCGGTTGATTTTGTCACGTGTCCGAAATCACCCCCTATCCCCTTAAAAGTTCACGATTTGTAGTGCTGTCCAAAACCAAAGTGGACATTATTGAGATCACTCGTTCAATCCCACGATGCACTGCTATAACTAGTGTACAACCGATGTACACTCGACAGCTAGAAAACATGAGGGTCGAGCCAAATGAATTTCTGCGTATATTCAGTGTCCAAATTCGCACACTTGTTTTCATTCAGTGGACTTTATTAGTGAAGTAACATAGGGAATAGTGAATGAGGGTATAGGGGGCGATTGTCGCTGGAATCTCATTGCATCGCGTCTGGTTAGGACATGGTGTTATGTTTCGTTTTTTTACAGCACAAAGATATAGACTCGCTTGACTATTTTTATGACCTCCATTTGTTCAAAAATCAAATGTCATTTTCTCATTAGGGACACAACCTTTTCCTAATCACATTCATAGTGTTTTATGGGATAACATTGAAACGGCAGGAAGTTGGAAGGCGGAGACTACAGTAAGGTCTTTCTGACACCCGATTTTTTTACATTCTATCGCAAACTGGTAAAAATGAAAGTGCACAGACAACTATGTTTTCCACAGGGATTTCTCCGATGGGACGGTGCAATGATTCAGACATGATCAATCCTGTCTCACCGCCATTCCAACTTCAGCCCAACGTTTCCTCATTCAGTGATGACAAGAGTAAGAACGCCAACAGTAACACTGAGAAAATCACAATGACAGTAATAAGAGAACTAACAATAGTACAAGTCTAACTTCCTGGGTTGTGGTACCCCGAGGTTTGTCCGGTTTTACAGTTTTCCTGGAGTTTTCCAGGCTAAGCCGTTGTGATGGCGGATCTGGGAGAACGGCACATGACAGCAGATTCAGCACATAGCGGCCAACATGTACCAGCGGCTCTCACCTCCTCACCTCCGCCTTCTGCTTCCCTTCCAAGGGTCCCTCCCCTCAACATTCACTTCTTTTGACTCCTCTTGTTCAAAGTAAAAACACATTTCTCTGTCCGTTTGATTTTGTAGTGTTTTAGTGGCAGGCACTCTCACATGGCGTACTTTTGCGTCCATTCTCTCGCTAGTCTGTTGTACCTACGAGCAAAAAAAGGATACACCCTTATGATTCAATTCAAGCTACATTTCGGTTTTATTTTGTTGTATTTATCAGTGCGGTCAGGAATGCTTTACATAAAGTGGATATAATGTGATACTTTTTATGCTTTAGACATGCAAAACATCCATGTTTCACATCATTAATGAGTGCTTCAATAACATAATTGTGTATATGTTACGTCATTGAGTGCTTACGTTAACAAACTAATGAATCAGTTTTTGAACCAGAAACCAACTGTCTGGAGGAGCCAATTTGCAAAAATGAATCAGACTTCCCCATTTGCCTGAGACTCTGGAGGTAATAATGTTGTAAATAATGTTCGGTTTCTTGCACAGCCCAATCATTTTGCTTCATAAGACCACAATATATCCTCAGGAGTATTAATTCTGTGTTGCCTGATGCTTTTTTTTTTTACTCTTAAAGTGACCGTAGCTGTTGACTTGCATTTTTGAACAGCATTTATTTCAAATAGAAATCTTTCGTAACATTATACATGTGTTTACTGTCATTTGTGATCGATTTAATGCATCCTTGCTGAATTAAAGTATTAATTTCATTTAAAAAAACTACTTATCCAAACTTATAAATATAAGAAAAAAATCCCCTACATATTGGATGGCCTGAGGGTGAGTAAATTAACAGCAAATTACCATTTTTGGCTAAACTATCTCTTTAAGCATGTTAGTAATTTGCGACCGTAGTCGGCTAAAAATGTCTGAAACATTTACCCGGCTCTAAACATGACGCTGAACAAAGCAAACTAATGTTTTTGATCACTTTACTGTACATGTCAGTCAGACGGCCTCCTTCTACAAAAGTGAGCAGCCCTTGGTCAATCAAAGTGGCTACAGAGCCGAGACTTTACACCGTCAGTCAAAGATCTGAATACACGAGACTAGCATGCCCCAAACAAGCCAAGATGAGGAAGAGCATTTTATTAATGGTGTAATACGGAGAGGAGTTTGGGTTGCAATAGAGTATAACAGTTCTACTGTTCTGAGTCTTTTGTAGGGATGCACCGAAATGAAAATTCTTGGCTGAAGCCGAACAAAATGAAACGCTAGGCCAAAGGCCGAATACCAAACACGTTTATTTTGCCATTTTTTTTCACCATTGCATAAATTACATAGCCAAAATGTGCCGTTTTGTCTTGCTTTTCAAATAAAAAAGCAATTACAAAACAACTATTTAAAAATATTTACTTAACACTGAACATTTGTTTAACATTCTAGCAGACATTATACCAACAAAGCACAATTTAACTTTAATAAGTTAGTAAAATAATATTTTTTGGCCATTTCTGAGACCCCCTTCTTGAATCAGGCATATATTTTTTACTGTACAAATAAATGCGGAGTAGAAGAGACTTCTTTTAATTTGAACACTATGTGTGAATGTTATAATAAATGTATTAATAGAGCTGTTGTAGGGTAATTATTATTATCATTATTATTGTCTTACTTTCTTTTATTTTACAGAACAACAGTGAAATTACAATACTAACATTTGTGAATGTTGATGGAGTGGTTGCTTTTTCTCAGCTTTTATTTTGGCAGAAACCCGCAGGAAGATCTCAGTGCTTCTTTTTGTTGACAACAGAGTCTCATTACGAATTTGGGAAAAAGTTTGTCGCACATATCACGTTGTCACATGCCTTTAAAAATAGTTATAAAAATGTTACTGAGCAACTGACAAAAAACACTGTTTCAGTGCACATTATCCTCACGCTTTGGACTTTGAGCCCTGGCGCCGCGAGCTCGTGCCGCGCTGTTCGTGTATTAGAAAACATAACAATCGGCAGTTTATTTACTAATTGTTTAAGGCTATTTCGCGATTTCAGTCATCATACAGTAACCAGCAACAACCACCCCTTCCTCTTCTCATCGGAGACATGAGATGCAGAACTAAACAGTCTCTCGCTGTCGGTGCTTGTAATGATTTTTGCATCTTTCCACACTGCCGACATGTTTGCTGCATTAGCGCGCGCCTCTGTTTGATCGTGTCACATCATTTTTCGGTACATATTATTCGGTCTTTTCGCTTATTTTTTTCTTTTCGTGAATAATTTTGGTTGCCGAACGTTCAGTGCATCCCAAGTCTTTTGTTCTTAACCCACGTTACATAAAGCTGTGTTTGTACTGATGGCACACTTATCATGTGTTATAATTTTGACGTCCATCAAATAAAAGCAGAAAACCACCACAAGTACTTTTCATTTATATTAAATTTTCCAAAAATAGGCATTTGATCAAAAAAGAAAAATTAACACATGAACAATTTCAAACATTTTTTAAATGTGCATGTAAGGGTCACTCACTTTTCTCTGTCTGCTTTATATGTATGTGCGATCTCAGGTACCAGCGGGTCATCTGGGTTCGGGTCACATAACAGGGAGCAGATGGACAACAAGACTACAAAAGAAAGGGAACACATTAAAAACATATAATACCAAAACATCCTGATCGTCTCTACTGCTGGAATAAGGAGCTTCTCTCACACTGGCCTGTGTTTCTTTGTCATATAACACAAACCGATTCCCGTGGAGAGATCCGAACTAGGTCATTGCTTAGAACAAAGAGTAATCACTGCAGTCTGACAACATCACCCACAGCGGGCTCAGCGCTCGGAAACACCAAGGCTACACAGTACTCAAAACAAACAGACAAACAGTCTGTCCAACAAGTGCTCAAGCCACATGAGAACATTATAATGCCTAAATTATAACAATTAACCTGTACACCAACAGCATGTTATAATTTGGTAGTCATGTTTAAAGTCAAAATATTTAACAATACAATAACATTTTACTGATGTAGTAATATATTCATTCTAATCATAAATTAATTGCGATGCAAATTAAACAATTTTCATAGAAAAAAAATGTCAATACCTGCATTTCTTATATATAGTTGGTATGACTAAATGTTTCTTTAATTTAACACTTTAACAGTTAATTCATTGTAAACAAACAATGAAAAAATAGTTTTACACAAATGAATCTTGATCAGTTTCTAAATATACTAATTTATTTCAAGTTGTCTAAATATGTAAATTATGATTATTGATGAACATAATGCATCTCACAGCTTCACAATTAACAATTTATTGATTAATGCATCTTTATTTTTACAACTAATTATGGAAATTCCTAAAAACCAATAAAACTTCATACCTGCAATGTGAATACAACGTAAGTACCATTCAAGATTGTATGTTTAAACTTATGTAAGACAGTAATATTGTGAAATTTTATTACAATTTAAAATACATTTCTATTTTAATATATTTTAAAGTTTAATTTATTTCTGTGGCGCAAAGCTGAAATTTCAGCATCATTACGCCAGTCTTCAGTGTCACATGATCCTTCAGAAATCATTCTAATATGCTGATTCGCTACTCAAGAAACATTTCTTATTATTATCAATGTTGAAAGCAGTTGTGCTGCTTAATATTTTTGTAGAAACCATGATGCATTTTTTCAGGATTCATTGATGAGTGCAAAGTTCAAAATACAGCACCTATTTGAAACAGAAATCTTTCCTAACTTGATAAATGCCTTTACTGTCATTTGTGATCAATTTAATGCATCCTTGCAGCAATAAACAATACATATACAGCAATAAATTATTTCAGGTTTTTTTTTTTTTTTTTTTCAAAGTGCTTATTTATCATGCATTGAGACATTGCCTGAATCTTACCTTTGGATACAGTAAGTGCAGGTGACCACTGAGATCGCAGGATGTCCAGACAAATACTTCCGTTACTGTTAATATTGGGGTGGTAGATCTTTGTTGTGAATGCGACCTGTCAGTCAATGCAGAGAATATTGATTACAGCATGACAAGCCATTACGTACATTTGCATTTGTCTAATATCGCAAAGCAACTGACCTTTGGTGGTTTAAAGGGGTAGTCTGTTGGGAAATGAATCGTAAGGAAGAAAACCCCTCCCTGATATGGACTGTCATTCTAAAAACCAAGAACATAGCTTTGCTAATGTATGCATGTACAGTCACAAAACAGGCAATATTTCAACACGTCTCAATATTTATACTGCATGTATGATAAGGACAGATTAATTCAAAAATATAACATTCTGTTAGTTTCACAGTGCAAAATGTATTTACTGTGATTGCATGTGGAGATCAGCCAATCAGAACAGATGCTATTTACATATAGCAGTGTTAAAGGTACAGTAACCTGATTGTTTCACTAAACTACAAGCAACCTTTCATTAACATGTAAGTGGACCTCTAGCAGAAAATACAATGCTACAAAGGTGTTAAACGTCCCTTTTAAATAATTCTTAAAGGGATAGTACACCCAAAAATTAAAATTACCCCATGATTTACTCAAGCCATCCTAGGTGTATATAGAGTTATATTAAAAAATGTCCTGGCTCTTCCAAGCTTTATAATAGCAGTGAATGGGTGTCAAAATTTTGAAGCCCAAAAAAGTGCATCCATCCATCATAAAAAGTGCTTCACACTTTTAACCCAGGGGGTTAATAAAGGCCTTCTGAAGCGAATCGATGCGTTTGTGTAAGAAAAATAACCATATTTAAAACTTTATAAACCGTAATCTCTAGCTTCCGCTAACTGTCGTACTCTCGTTCACGAGAGAGTGGCGTTCCAGAGGAAGACAAATGATGTAGGCGTAGCGTAAGCTCTGGTGAGAAGTGAAGAAACCCAGAAGCACAGAGGAGAGTAGTAGTAGTATATATTTATTTAATGCCATGCCAGGCTATTTTCATGGCAAAAACAATTTAAAAAATACATGTATAACAAATACAATAAAAACCAGCAAACAAACAAATACAAGTTAGCACAGAGGAGAGAGCAAAACAAAAACATTGGTCACGAATTAGAAGTACAAAACGAGGATTTGGAAAGAAAAAAATGTCGGAGGATTTCGATACAAGCCATGAGGAGACTGGTTTTGCTTTGCTGTAAACAAAACTTGGTTCTCGCGAGACTAGAATATTCTCACTGGAGCTTACACTAAGCCTCTAGTGAACGTGTGTACGACAGTTAGCAGAAGCTAGATATTACAGTTTAGAAAGTTTTAAATATGGCTGTTTTTCTTACACAAACACATCGCTTCACTTCAGAAGCCGGAGCCGTGTGGAGCACTTTTTATGATGGATGGATGCACTTTTTTGGGCTTCAAAATCGAAATCCTCTGACATTCTTCTTTACAAATCCTCGTTTTGTACTTCTAATAAGTGACCGTTGTTTTGTTTTGATCTCCCCGCTGCATTTCTGCGTGCGTCACTTCTGAGCGGCGCATGCGCAACACCGAACTTATACGTCATCCGCCCGGAGCTGCTTCCGTGTACAACTGCTGGCGCAGCTTGGAATAGCCAGGACCATTTTTGATATAACTCCGACTGGATTTGTCTGAAAGAAGAAAGTCATATACACCTAGGATGCCTCGGGGGTGAGTAAAACACAGCCTAATTTTCATTTTTGGGTGAACTAACCCTTTAATATAACTTCAATTGTATTCGTCTGAAAGAAGAAAGTCATACACACCTAAGATGGCATGAGAGTGAGAAAATCATGGGGTAATTTTCACTTTTGTGTGAACTATCCCTTGAACTAATTTAAGGGTTACCACACATTTTGACCAATGAATTTCCATGATTTCCCCATGAGAATTTATTTTTATTGATTTTATTTATTTAACATGGACAGTGCTAATTAATCAACAGTAAAATACTGTAAATAAGCCAGAGCTAGCCCCAATGGCTAATTTTCATCTGTTGCCCCTTGCCAGATTTAAAAAAGGCAACCTAAAAATCTAAAATACAGTAAATTATCACACATAAACATACAATAACATTTACAATTAAACACTAAGGATAATAATGGCAGTATCATAAAGGGAAAAAATATATTTTTATTCATTTTTAGTGTATTGATTTTTTTTTCAGGACTGGAAATCACAATTCCCTCATATTTCATGACTGTGGGAACCCTGTAATTTGAAAAGAATAAGGCAGAAAAATGGCTGCTTACCGGCCCCATTATTGTTGCCTGCCAGTGAAACACTGAAAAACACGATTCATTATATAAAATCAATGGGCAGTATTGAAGCAGAGCACGAACTGATCCAATGTATGCTGAGAATGGTAGTTAGTGTTGGATCACTACTAGAGTGAATACATGTGAATATCTATATATTTAAACAGTAATCCGACAAAAATATATCAATAGTAACTTTTTATAATTCACTCATTCCTCATATACTCACAGTCCTCTCCGACTGGACCTGCTGAACACTGAGCTGGTGGATCTCTCTGTAGGTCTGTCAGTTCCTGAGGGAAACAAAATGGCCATGTCACGTAAAACAGCATTTTTGTGCAATAACCTTGATTATTTGATTATAAGTGTACTTCAGAGAAAATTGATAAAAGACAAGTAACACAAAGGATTCTTGGTCTGATCAAAATGTTATCAGCACCAGGATACTTCATTTGCTCAAAATGCTTTCTAAAAACAGAATTTTGCTCATGTTAGTGTAATGTGGTTGCCAACATGAACTCCTAATGCTTTGGCTCTGAGGTTTGTTTCCATATTGAGATAGAGATCGTTTCAGGAGCACTGCCAGCACAACCAACGCTACGGCAGTCATCTCATAGTACCTCACAAACAGGTCTGAGAATGAAATATGGCTGTATAAACAAAGGGTGCGGCTGAAAATATCAGGGTGTACAGAAATATCAGTTGTGGAAAACAGGCTCTTCGTATGTGCTTCTTTTACAAGATAATCACTTACATTTTTCAAAATGTGACAATGTATCTGTGTGAATCTCCAAATGAAATAAAAATATAAATATATATTTCATAAAGACAAAAATAATGTGCTAATGATTTAAATCAGCAATTCAAGGTAGTACAACTAACATGATGTATTTTTTATGTTTTTGAAAGAAGTCTCAACGCTCACCAAGACTGCATTTATTGATCAAAAAAACAGTATAAACTATATTTTTCATATATTTTTATGTAATTTATTCCTGTTATGTCAAACCTGAATTTTCAGCTTTATTAGTCTTCAGTGTCATTTAATATTTTGGTGCAAGCTGTGTTACTTTTTGTTTTTAAAGAATTTTTTTGATGAATAGAACGCTGAAAAGCATTTATTTAAATTACAAATAATTATAAACGATTATAAAATTACAATTTTATTAAATGTCTTCATTGTCACTTTTGATCAATTTTTTGTATCCTTGCCGAATGAATTGATGCACTGAAAAAAATAATTAATTTAAACAAGACTTGCTGAACTCAAATTTTTGAACGGTAGATATACATTATATTTTAAACTGCATTAACTTATTTTCTGTTAATTTACGGGTAAAATTAGAGCTAAATATGTTCATGATATGTTTCATGAGATTCACCAATGTGTATTTTAATTAAAGGGTTAGTTCACCCAAAAATGAAAATTCTGTCATTAATTACTCACCCTCGTGTTCTGTCTATGGGAGGGTCAGAGAGCCCTCAGATTTAATCAAAAATATCTTAAATTGTGTTCCGAAGATATGAGGAACGATATGAGGGTGAGTAATTAATGACAGAATTTTCATTTTTGGGTGAACTAACCCTTTAATGCTTTAATAATGTTAAATTTGTGCAGGCATTTGAACAAGTTTCTATCTTACAGCTGTCTTTCAACAACTGTTGCTACAATGTTCATCTGAATTATAGAAACTTAATCGCCACTTCTTTTTGTACAAGCACTGGACAATATTTACACTGTCCTTTTTGTCAGTCGCACACCAACTTCTCTACTGAGGTTTGTTAGTTTCATGACAGTGTGGCTCAGTATTTGGCATCAGGTGTATTTCTGTAACTGTTCGGAATCATTCACCTGAAATATCTCGCATCTCATCCTCATGGCCATGTCACCTCTGTAATTCACCTCTTGTTTAAAATTATATGCGGCTGTTTGTATTGCTAGAAGTTACTGTCTGACTCACAGCGCCTGAAAACACCTCTCTAAAGATAGACGCAGAGCGATCAGCTGTTCACCGACAGCACTTTCAATAATTTTAACTCTCAGCACACTAAAGAAAAAACATAATAAATGGCTTTTATGGATCAGTTCATCATACCAAACACTGTACACAACAACAGATCGACATTAAATGTCATTCATTGACATCAGTGCAAGAAATAAAAGAATGAACCGCCCCTCAAACTATCTGACCAAATAAAATTATATGCTGAATTTAGGGACAGTTATAAAAAAATATATCATATATGGATTGCCGGTTTATGGCATGACATATATCATACCATAAGCATGCAATCCAGTGTATTGGTTTATCCTCCCCAGGAAAGACTGTATAGTTTAGATAAAATCAATGTGCACGCACAGTAAGTAAAGGTAAAAAAAAAATTGTCACAAAAATATAATTATAGTTTTCTTCAATGGTGGAGTCCAATGTATCTATCACATATAGCCTGTATTCACACCTGCTATTACATGCTTAAATACACAAACAGGTTTTAATTTCTGATATCGTTGCACAAGACTGATCCTTATAAAACAAGCTCTGGCAGGAGCAGCACAACAACACACCACATACTGTGTTACATCTGTGCTGCTTTTAAAGGGGCGGAGCTTTTACAGTCTATTGTTGCTCTGTTATTGACACTCTTTCTTGAGCCTTTGTTGATGTAACATGGCATTCGGCACAAGTTAAATGTCTATCTAACAGTAGTCATGGGTCTGTATGCATTTTAAATACAATATCTAAAAATGTGCATCCGATATTTTTTATGAACTTATAAAACTTATCAACTTATGCATTATTTCACAGGACTTCTCAGACCTTAAAGGGATAGTTCACTCAAAAATGGAAATTCTGTTGTTTATTCACCTTCAAGTCATTACAATCCTATACATTGTTATTTTGGCTTCAAAAGTCTGAATTTTTGAAGAGCTTTTTTCCATACAATCACGATTTACAGCGGCCATGACTGTCAAGCTCCAAAATTTACAAATCACACCGTGAAGTAGGGCTGCACGATAAATCGAAATGGAATCGAGATCGCGATTCGACAGAAGCTGCGGTTGTCATGCGTATCTTTCAGTGAAGCACGGTTCTGTGATCAGCAGTACCTGCTGATTACAGAACCGGCTTTTTTATCAAAATGCGCATGACAATCGCATTCGATTAATCGTGCAGCCCTACCGTGAAGTATCCTAATATACTAACCAGTTGCAATGTGATAATATTCCAGGTATAAGTACATTTATCTGTCCATCATGTCAGATGTGAAATAATCAATCACAAATTACAGCCAATCAGAAGAGCGTGTGGGTGGGGCTCTCTAAGTACATAATCAATTTATTCAAATTCAATGATTTTAACATTATTCAAAACACATAAACATTGACTGATGCAAACCTTGTTATGAAATATACTTGTTTGTTCACAGATTGAACACTTGTTTCCTTTAGGTTTTTTTCACGATCTGAAGTGAATTATCAGTTGTCGTGTTTATTATAGCAATTAAGTCACACAAAAATTATACTCAAACTCAAAGGATTTTAATATTGTACAATACGCAAGTACTTGAGATAATCTTTAATATAAGCTGTATATTCAGAGTCTGAAGTTATATAGCTTTTGTATTAGAAACAGACCCACATTTATGCCATTATTTCTTCTGCTGAACACAAAATATGTTTCAAAGAATATGGGTAACCAAAAAGTTGATGCACTCCACAGACTTCCATAGTATGAAAAAAACCCACTATGGAAGTCAAGGGGGTTAGAATACACGCAGTCTTCAAAATATATTCTTTTGTGTTCAGCAGAAGAAAGAAATTCATACAGGTTTGGAACACCTTGAGGATGAGTACATGATGACAATTTTCATTTTGGATGAACTGTGTCTTTAAATTTTGGGCTGTTCCTTACACGAAGACTCTGAATATAGCACACAAGTCAATAGGTTTTTTTTTTTTTATACTCCTTTTTGGAGCTGGTCAATAAAAATGTTGGAGATTCCAATTTCTCCTCATTTAGAAAAACAAAACATGAGGGTGAAAAAAGGAGGACAAAATTCGATTCGTTTATTATAAAACACTCAGACTATGGAATCGCTGAAAGAAATACACAGACTCTAAGTGATTTTTTTTTCTGTGATTAAAGTCGCTGGTTATGCTGACAGGGTGGCGAATCTGTTAAAACTACCCTCTGCTGTCCTAGTGCCCTATTTGCCAAGCCATATATGGACACACTGACATTAGGGTTCAGCATTTGGCAACTTGAAAGCAGTTGTCGCCCATCACGCATGCGCACCAGCGGCGCTTCGCTCATCATGATGACCGACAACAGAAAAGATACATTTTAACCATGTTTCCAGCGCCCACGCACTTACATGCCACAAATCAGTCACAACAGCACCCGTAAACCCCCAAATCATGCGTTATTACGCGCACAGATCCTTAGGCTGCAACATCGCATAACGAGAATAGCCGTTGTCGATCACATATTGCGCAAAACAAACGCTCCCAATTAGCCGTCTCTATGTGACGGTGACCGTTTATAACAGCATGTGTGTGAATCTGTAGTGATCAGAAAGACACCGTGCGTCTGTCGACTGCATGCATCCACCATTGGCCATCCGTCTTTGTCTTGACCAGATGGGGACAAAATGAGAAAAGTGCGACTGCTTTACATCACAACAACATTAGAAGATGATGAGCAGGACACTGTGTGGATCGCATAACCTCACAGCCTCTGTCAATGCACACGGACTCACCTTTTGGATTCTTTTCAACGCCATTTGCTCGCTGTGTTACAGCACTGTTTGATCTAGCTCAGAGACTGTTGGCCTGCACAGTTTGGACGAGGACGCTGCAGATTTTTCTCCTCAGTGTCACACGTTACGTTTGTAATACCACCAAAGCACCGATTTGGACATTCACGCCGCTGTTTGAACGGCAGTCGCCGATTTGAGAAATTCTTACCCCCTCTAACCTCACTGACAGCTTTTTAGTGCTGTACTAGACAGCAGGAAGGTAATCTCGCGATACGACGCAAAGGATTTTAGATAATATCGCGATACTAGCGCGTGCGCTGGAGGTGCGAGGTGATGCTGGGAAATGTAGTTCTGTGAGTGTTGTGCTCGTAATTTGCATAAAGGGTAAGTTAGTTGTAATAATCGAAGATGAAAATTAATTGACATAATTTAAATGAATAAGATTTTTTTTTAAGTATATTTTTTATCTATTCTTTGTTGTTAGGTTAATTTTATATATCAGACTAATTCAAAACCTAATTTTGCTCATTTTCAAACAGCCTTTAAAGTTTAGAATCTATAAAGTAAAAAAAAAAAATCCAAAAAGCCCCATGAACAGTCTCTGTTAAATGAATTTAACATATGTTTGTGAAAGAAAGAAAGAAAGAAAGAAAGAAAGAAAGGCAAATAACAGTGGAGTAAACTGTAAAACTGTTTGCGCTATGACGGCGAGTCTATGATTATGATAACGATTTAGTTTAGCTTTTAAGTTCTGGCGCTTTTATTTAGACTTCAAAATTCATAAGAGTTATATTATTTTGTATAGATTATCTTGATGGACAAACAGTGTAAGTTTCATGAACTATGATTGAACACAGAGCTTATTTTTTGCGATAATCCAAAAGCCTATGGAAAAATCCTACTGGCTTTTTGTCCAGGGAGCCAGTGTGATGCTAACAGCCGATCGGCCTACAAAGGGACATCATAGTTTCCCCACTCAACCTTACTGTTATTAAGTGCAATAAACGTATTCTAATTGAATGTATTGTTACAATTAAAAAATGAAAACACACACAGTCAATGCCCACCCCAGTGCTGACCTTCATTATGGCCTTCAGGTTCTGGCCCTCAGATTATCCTCTGTCACTGTTTGCTTTACTCTCTGGCCTGACCCTCGGCTGGAATCCGGTGGCACATTTCTGGATGGGCTCGCCGAGGACCTTAAAGGTGAGATGTCGTGGCAGTTCTGTGTCCCAAATAATGCGCCCCCTCCTGATGCCATCTTGTCCTCAGGCCATGTGGTGGGGGCTGTAACCTGGGACATTGAGGGTCATGTCATGTGAGATCTGGCTGGAGTTGAGGTGCCTGTGGGGCACCTGGTGGGCTTGCTTTATTTCCTTGGCCAGTTCACCTTGCCATCTTGCAGTGGTGTCACACTTATTTAAAATGTTGCCCCACCCAGGTGTGCACGGTCAGTTTTTGGTGTCTGGCTATGGCAGATGATGATTATCTGTTTATGGCTGTTGGCTTAATATCCGTTGGTAAGGTGGTCAGTTTAAATTTCAAAGTTATCTCTATAATTTCTGTCTGCTTCACCCTATCCCCTTCCCCTCCCACCCCTGGGCGTATGTTGCCCTGGATTTTGTCACCGGTCTGTCTCCATCCAGTGGCAGTACTGTGATTCTGATTAGATAATTAGAGACTCCACCAGTCTGTCTTTGGGATTCCATCCACAGACCAAGGGCCAACAAGAGCATGCGAATCAGGGGGCTACTGTGTTTTTGTTTTCATTCTTTCGCTTGCACTTCACAATCAGCAATGCTGTTTATTATCTCTCAGCTGTTTCTGCTCTACTCTTGATTTCTGTGCTATATTGGGTAAAGCGGTCAGCTGTGCTTTATCGTGAATAAAACACAGCTGATGACCAATCAGAAGCGAGAACTGGAACTAACCATTTTATAATAAGAGATTTGAACATGTTGTTCTAAACCTGTAAGACCTTCGTTCATCTTCAGAACACAAATTAAGATATTTTTGATGAATTTTGAGAGCTCTCTAACCCTCCCATAGCTGTATATGGGATGATGAACGAAGGTCTTACGGGTTTAGAACGACATGAGGGCGAGTAATTAATGACAGAATTTTCATTTTTGGGTGAACTATCCCTTTAAATCAGGGGTGCCCAAACTCGGTCCTGGAGGGCCGGTGTCCTGCAGAGTTTAGCTCCAACTTGCCTCAACACACCTGCCTTTAAGTTAGTATGCCTATAAGAGCTTGATTAGCTGGTTCAGGTGTGTTTAATTGGGGTTGGAGCTAAACTCTTCAGGTCACTGGCCCTCCAGGACCGAGTTTGAACACCCCTGCTTTAAATCATGCATGCATATTGATTATGTTCTGTGTCTATATTATTGAAGCAGTGGGTATATTAACAATAATGGATTGGCCATTCACTTCCATTGTAAGTGCCTGGCAGTAACCCATATTTTTACTGAAAAGGAGGAACAATTGGAAATTATTTTTGTAGTCATCAAATATTATGCCACAACTGCTCTCACTGGGCTTAACTTACGCTGAATCTGCAATATTCCTTTAACAACCCTGTGTGTTTGTGTGTGTGTCAGGAGCTGGAGTCTCTCTACAGGAGACTATGAGATACCTGGAGTCTCAGTATCTTGAGGAGATCGAGGTCATGCTTAGGGGTCAGATACAGGGCCAGGATCTGTTCTTCGACTGCGTGGAAGCCGAGATCAAATTCTACCAGTGAAACAGAGCAAGTCAACAGAGAAATGTCAGCATATCGTTCACACATCTGACCTGTGACTTCTACTGTCTGATATTGCCTGTAACTTGTGGCTGTTTTGCAGTTGTCGTTGTGAACGTCACTAGTGCTTGCTGATCTGCCTGGAGAGAGAGAGACAGTCCAAAGTGCACAGGTTCCTGCCTGCTCAAATCCATGCCAAACTAATTGTGATGTCCATGCCACACTAACTGTAACTTAAAAAAAACACACTAGATGTTCATGTGAGTGGATCACCATAATCATGTGTAATTGTCACACAGGGTGGTCATACGCATTACATTAACTGGTTTGTGATAGATTACCAAGGAGTGTATGTGCTGTGGGTAGATGTGTGAGAGAAGAGATGTTAGGGAAAACACTCATTCCTGTAGATGGGCTCAGCTACCAGACTGACCTTCTGAGGAGAAACATAATAAAATATCAATGATTCAAAATGTTTGGCATCTTTATTATTACTGAAACATGGATAGTTCATGTCAACTTATGGATGTTTGAAATGGAAGTGGAGGAAAGTGACCAGGTTTATGTGCAAATATAAAATAATACAAGTTGTCTGTTAAGTGTTTATTGCAGTCTTCCTTTGTACATCTATTGTTATGCTACGTTCATACACTAAAACTCATTAGCCAAACATCCTCACTGTGCCTTTACAAAAGAAAAACTGTTACAACCGACCTACAGTTCATTGCAGCATCATTCAACGCTACCAAAAAAAACAATCATCATATCATCATCTCAAGCTGAATTGAATAGTGACGAAGCTTCGGAAGTCCGAATCAACTGAACCAATTGCTTCACAAAATGATTTACTCTTTCTAAGCGCCCGAAACAATGGTGAAACCCTCTGGTCAAAATGGCGTATGCAACGTAAACACAGTCAAAGCGTGGGTTAAGTACTGATCTATAATATATTCTCTATTATAAAGTATCTAATATAAAGTTTTCTAGAAAGTGTAACCTATTGAATGAAATATACAAATAATTAAATACCATTAAATATGAAGAGTTCTTCTTTTATTAATATATGTGTTTGTTTTGTGTCATCTCACCCAGGGTTTGGTAAATAGGACATGTAGAACAATTAACTAGCATATCTGTTAACTTAAATTTGAAACTAAATTATAAAACTAACCTGAGATCAATTACTACCATTAGCCAATACTACTTGACCTTATTTGGATATGACAAGGCATCGACCAATCATTTTATCACATTGTCCCACCATAGGCCACGCCCACGTTACACCTGCATACTAGTACATTTGTGTTTCTGTGCGGACTTCGGAGGGGTTCAGTATCATGAAGGAACAGATGGTTTATTTTGTTCGGGGCATTTGACTGAAGATTGTTTTGTATACGAGGTACAGTGTAATGGAGAGTTCACACAAAGAAACATTCGTTGAAATGAAGCAGCCAACAGTATTGAATCTGACAGCAGCTGCAGCAAACCATAAGTAACGTTAAACAATTTCATAATGCTTTGTCTGTAAATGGTTTTGTATGGATAATGTTTTTTTAAACACTTGTTTATGAGGCGTTGGTACAACTGATCTATAGAGCTCATATTTACATTTATATAGTGGACTATACTTTTCCTATGGAATGACGTTAGACAATCATAACAGTGGCCTTTTACTGGAGCCACCCCTTAAAAATGGATAAGGGTCTGAATGAGGGTTGAAAATAATATTGGGGGTTCAGCCCCTGGACAGACCTTGCCTTTCTACGGGCTGGGGTGCCCTTAGAACAAGTGACAGACAGATGCCTTCAGTACGGGCTGGGGCGCTACATGCAACGGGCAGGCAGCCTTGGGGCTCTGGACGGGGGCCTCGACTGCTTTGGCACATCAACTGCCTAGAGCTGTTGGCAGTGCATCTTACCTTACGGCATTTCCGGCTACTGCTACAGGACAAGCACGTGTTGGTTCGCATGGACAACACTGCGGCCGTGTCGTACATCAACCGGCAGGGAGGTCGCATGTCACAGCTCGCCCGTCATCTCCTCCTCTGGAGTCAGACGCAGCTCAAGTCGCTGCGTGCCCTCCACATTCCGGGGGAGCTCAATTGTGCATCCGACGTGCTCTCACGACAGCTCACATTCCTCAGGGAATGGCGACTCCATCCCGAGACAGTCCGGCTGATCTGGAGTCGATTCGGGGAAGCCCAGGTAGACCTGTTTGCTACCGTCGAGTCCTCCCACTGCCAGCTGTATTACTCCCTGACCAATCCATGCCAAACTAATTGTGATGTCCATGCCACACTAACTGTAACTTAAAAAAAACACACTAGATGTTCATGTGAGTGGATCACCATAATCATGTGTAATTGTCACACAGGGTGGTCATACGCATTACATTAACTGGTTTGTGATAGATTACCAAGGAGTGTATGTGCTGTGGGTAGATGTGTGAGAGAAGAGATGTTAGGGAAAACACTCATTCCTGTAGATGGGCTCAGCTACCAGACTGACCTTCTGAGGAGAAACATAATAAAATATCAATGATTCAAAATGTTTGGCATCTTTATTATTACTGAAACATGGATAGTTCATGTCAACTTATGGATGTTTGAAATGGAAGTGGAGGAAAGTGACCAGGTTTATGTGCAAATATAAAATAATACAAGTTGTCTGTTAAGTGTTTATTGCAGTCTTCCTTTGTACATCTATTGTTATGCTACGTTCATACACTAAAACTCATTAGCCAAACATCCTCACTGTGCCTTTACAAAAGAAAAACTGTTACAACCGACCTACAGTTCATTGCAGCATCATTCAACGCTACCAAAAAAAACAATCATCATATCATCATCTCAAGCTGAATTGAATAGTGACGAAGCTTCGGAAGTCCGAATCAACTGAACCAATTGCTTCACAAAATGATTTACTCTTTCTAAGCGCCCGAAACAATGGTGAAACCCTCTGGTCAAAATGGCGTATGCAACGTAAACACAGTCAAAGCGTGGGTTAAGTACTGATCTATAATATATTCTCTATTATAAAGTATCTAATATAAAGTTTTCTAGAAAGTGTAACCTATTGAATGAAATATACAAATAATTAAATACCATTAAATATGAAGAGTTCTTCTTTTATTAATATATGTGTTTGTTTTGTGTCATCTCACCCAGGGTTTGGTAAATAGGACATGTAGAACAATTAACTAGCATATCTGTTAACTTAAATTTGAAACTAAATTATAAAACTAACCTGAGATCAATTACTACCATTAGCCAATACTACTTGACCTTATTTGGATATGACAAGGCATCGACCAATCATTTGATCACATTGTCCCACCATAGGCCACGCCCACGTTACACCTGCATACTAGTACATTTGTGTTTCTGTGCGGACTTCGGAGGGGTTCAGTATCATGAAGGAACAGATGGTTTATTTTGTTCGGGGCATTTGACTGAAGATTGTTTTGTATACGAGGTACAGTGTAATGGAGAGTTCACACAAAGAAACATTCGTTGAAATGAAGCAGCCAACAGTATTGAATCTGACAGCAGCTGCAGCAAACCATAAGTAACGTTAAACAATTTCATAATGCTTTGTCTGTAAATGGTTTTGTATGGATAATGTTTTTTTAAACACTTGTTTATGAGGCGTTGGTACAACTGATCTATAGAGCTCATATTTACATTTATATAGTGGACTATACTTTTCCTATGGAATGACGTTAGACAATCATAACAGTGGCCTTTTACTGGAGCCACCCCTTAAAAATGGATAAGGGTCTGAATGAGGGTTGAAAATAATATTGGGGGTTCAGCCCCTGGACAGACCTTGCCTTTCTACGGGCTGGGGTGCCCTTAGAACAAGTGACAGACAGATGCCTTCAGTACGGGCTGGGGCGCTACATGCAACGGGCAGGCAGCCTTGGGGCTCTGGACGGGGGCCTCGACTGCTTTGGCACATCAACTGCCTAGAGCTGTTGGCAGTGCATCTTACCTTACGGCATTTCCGGCTACTGCTACAGGACAAGCACGTGTTGGTTCGCATGGACAACACTGCGGCCGTGTCGTACATCAACCGGCAGGGAGGTCGCATGTCACAGCTCGCCCGTCATCTCCTCCTCTGGAGTCAGACGCAGCTCAAGTCGCTGCGTGCCCTCCACATTCCGGGGGAGCTCAATTGTGCATCCGACGTGCTCTCACGACAGCTCACATTCCTCAGGGAATGGCGACTCCATCCCGAGACAGTCCGGCTGATCTGGAGTCGATTCGGGGAAGCCCAGGTAGACCTGTTTGCTACCGTCGAGTCCTCCCACTGCCAGCTGTATTACTCCCTGACCGATGCACGAGGCATGGGCTCTATGCAAGTATGGGTACAACTGATCTATAGAGCTCATATTTACATTTATATAGTGGACTATACTTTTCCTATGGAATGACGTTAGACAATCATAACAGTGGCCTTTTACTGGAGCCACCCCTTAAAAATGGATAAGGGTCTGAATGAGGGTTGAAAATAATATTGGGGGTTCAGCCCCTGGACAGACCTTGCCTTTCTACGGGCTGGGGTGCCCTTAGAACAAGTGACAGACAGATGCCTTCAGTACGGGCTGGGGCGCTACATGCAACGGGCAGGCAGCCTTGGGGCTCTGGACGGGGGCCTCGACTGCTTTGGCACATCAACTGCCTAGAGCTGTTGGCAGTGCATCTTACCTTACGGCATTTCCGGCTACTGCTACAGGACAAGCACGTGTTGGTTCGCATGGACAACACTGCGGCCGTGTCGTACATCAACCGGCAGGGAGGTCGCATGTCACAGCTCGCCCGTCATCTCCTCCTCTGGAGTCAGACGCAGCTCAAGTCGCTGCGTGCCCTCCACATTCCGGGGGAGCTCAATTGTGCATCCGACGTGCTCTCACGACAGCTCACATTCCTCAGGGAATGGCGACTCCATCCCGAGACAGTCCGGCTGATCTGGAGTCGATTCGGGGAAGCCCAGGTAGACCTGTTTGCTACCGTCGAGTCCTCCCACTGTCAGCTGTATTACTCCCTGACCGATGCACGAGGCATGGGCTCTATGCAAGTATGCGTTTCCCCCAGTGAGCCTTCTCGCACAGACACTGTGCAAGGTCAGGGAGGACGAGGAACAGGTCTTGCTGGTTGCGACGTACTGGCCCACACGAACCTGGTTTTCGGAACTCATGGTCCTCGCGACAGCCCCTCCCTGGCGCATCCTCGGACCACACCCGGAGCTTCAGAAGCTCTGAGCAGCTCTTTGTCTGCTATGGAGATCAGCAGAAAGGATAGTGGATGCCATCGCCTTGGCCTACCAATCCCAGACGCGACAGCCCCTCCCTGGCGCATCCTCCTGAGGAAGGACCTCCTTTCTCAGGGGCTCGGCACCATATGGCACCTGCGTCCAGATCTCTGG